AATATATTAAAAAAAAAAAAAAAGCCTACACAACGCCTGGAGGAGTTACCACCCCCTCCTCCTGAAGCAGAGCCTGTAGAGCTGGTAATACCAAGGCCCCGGACTCTCCCCTCCGATGTGGGAAGGCTCATCAATAGGTCCTTGGTTATGGGATCAGGTGTCAGGCAAGCTATGCTACAAGGAGAGCTTTTGGCTGCCCAGTGATGCAAGATCAGCAAGGCAATCTGATGCATGAACCACTCTCCTTTAATACCTTTAAAGAAATAAGGAAAAGTGTTAGAGCTCATGGGGCTAACAGTCCGTTTACAAAAGGACTCCTTAAAGCCTGGTCTGAAAATGACCACAGGACGCCATGGGACTGGCAGATTTTGGCTAAAAGGACTTTAGATGCCAGTCAATATCTATTATGGAGAGCAGGATATGATGAGATCTGTGAACAGCAGGCTGACCAAAACAATCTAGCGGGCGCTCATCACCTGAGAGCCCCAATGCTGCGGGGGTGGGGACCATATGTTCATGTACAACAATTGAATCTGCACCCTCAAGTATTGACCCAAGCCTCTCTGTGCACAGTGGCCTGGAGTGTATTCCAGAAGGCAGAATTCAGCAAGGCTCCTTTGTCAATGGACCCCAGGAATCTTATGTTGACCTTGTAAATCGCCTTATCCAATCCATTTGGCCGCAGATCAGTCATAGTGAGGCTGTAGATATTCTCTTGTTGCAACTGGCATATGAGAACGCCAACATTGATTGTCAAAAGGCTATGCCGCCCATGAGGGGAAAGGCCACCCGGTGGGGGGATTGTCAGGCCTTGTCAGCTATTAGGCACGGAAACCCACCGGGCCAACCACTGCAAATCAAAATTTGACGGATATGCAATTCTTTACCACCACTGCCGGGAAACGCCCCATGGGGCCAGTCCTGAGTCCCGCAACAAACCGGGGCACGGATGGCCTCCCTCTTGCAGACGGGAAATCACTGTCTACTCCCTCCCAGCAGCTACCACTGGGAGGGCAGCACTGGACTTACTCCAACAGAATTGATTCTAAAGGAAGGGGCCGACCCTAAAAGGGTCCCTATGGGGACTTGGGGCCCACTGCTACTGGGCATGGTAGGCATTATTTTGGGGCGCTCCAGCCTTAACTCAAAAGAAGTCACTGTAATACCAGAGTCCTAGATAGTGATGACCAGGGAGAAATCCAGGTGCTCATGCCATACAATGGGTTGCATATTTTGCCCTCACAAACTAAGGTCCTGCAACTGTTGTTACTACCATAGTGGGTCCAGAACGCTCAGCGGTTCTCAGCCTGTGGGTCGCGACCCCTTTGACGGTAGAACGACCCTTTCACAGAGGACGCCTATGACCATCCTGCATATCAGATATTTACATGATGATTCATAACTGTAGCAACATTACAGTTATGAAGTAGCAACGAAAATAATTTTATGGTTGGGTCACAACATGAGGAACTGTATTAAAGGGTCAGAAGGTTGCGAACCACTGATCTAGGGAAGGAGAGAAATCTAGGAGGGGAGGGAGTTGGGAGTACTGGAGAGTGAGGGGTTTACTGGAATCAGTCCCAAGAGAACAGCCCCTCCTCACCATAGAAATTCAAGGGAAAAGATTCACCGGATTCATAGCTCCTGGGGCCGACTGCACTACAGTTAGTCATCTCGATTGTCCCTCCTCTGGCCCACGGCGATGCAAGGTCAGAAGAAAGTGGGAATAGGAGAAGTTTCCCAGACATTACAACGTTCTCGGCGCGTAGGCTATAAAGGGCCACATGGGCAAATTGGCTACATGCAGCCTCTAATCATACAGATTTCAGTCAATTTGTGGGGATGTGATCCCCTTTCGCAGTGGGGGTTAACGCTACAGACGCCTCTTTAGGAGTG